CTATCTATCTATCTATCTATCTATCTATCTATCTATCTATCTATCTACTGTATTCTTATAATGTATCATTTAAATGATCATATACTTCTATCATTCTTAGGATTTATTATAATTTTCATTTGTTCTCCAAAATGTTTAATCTCTGATCCCATCAAATGAAATAAATAGAAGTGAAATTTCCGGGTTCTTGTTCAATACTAAATACTTACAGAACGAGAAGCTGACTCCTAGTTTGGCCTTTTCCCTCATGTCCTTAATCACAGCCGTGCCTTCTCCACATCTGGTTTTATCTTTTCTGAAACCACACCACAAGCATTGGAAGAAATAATAATAAAAAATAAAATAAATAAATTAAAATTAATAATAGTAATAATTCCACTGTTTGTGCCCTCAGTCCTGCATCAGGTCACATCATCTTCTCAAATTAGATAATTATCCTTTTGAATTTAGACAGATAGGAGAATATTAGTGGAAATATCTATATATATACAGTATATTTAAAACTATAAATCTAATATATCAAAAATAACACAAAGCATATAGATATAAATAAATGAACCAAGATAGAGGGAGACGTCTTTCATTTTAATTCACTCCAACTGTCTTTTTTGAGCATAAATATGTTTAAAATGAAGCCATTTACTTTTAAAAATGTGCAATTTTGTTCAAATCATTTTTTTCTGCTTGGTTTCTTATGATTTAATGACCTCAAACTGGACTTTCCTTATTTTAAAACCTGCAAAGTTTTAGAGAAAAATCTGATAAATGACAATCTGAGTTCCTGACAGCTAAACATGTGAATGTGTCTCTATGGGCTCTAATTTGTTATAAAACAAACTCACTAAAACATTAAAAGATATTCTGAAAAATAATTTTTGATTCTGGGACTTTTTACAAAGTCAAATTCCGCTTCATTTATTCAATATCTGGATGTTCTTGTGTTGTTTTTCTCTATTTTCCCAGTAAAATAAAGGGCCTGCAGCCTGTAGGAGACTAGGTTGGATATTCGACTCCTCCCACATCCAAGTCGGCCATTTTGATTAGGTCATGTGACTAGCAGCTTTCTGAGGTGGAAACGAAACTTTACTGTCTACACGAAAAATCGGAAGATAAACGATGTCCTAACCCTGACCATAACCCAAACCCTGACCCTAAACCTAACCCAAACCCTGACCCTAAACCTAACCCTGACCCTAAACCTAACCCTAACCCTGACCCTGACCCTAAACCTAACCCTGACCCTAACCCTAACCCTAAACCTAACCCTAACCCTGACCCTAACCCTAACCCTAACCCTGACCCTGACCCTAAACCTAACCCTGACCCTAACCCTAAACCTAACCCTGACCCTAAACCTAACCCTGAACCTAACCCTGACCCTAACCCTAAACCTAACCCTAACCCTAACCCTAAACCTAACCCTGACCCTAACCCTAAACCTAACCCTAAACCTAACCCTGACCCTAACCCTAACCCTGACCCTAAACCTAACCCTGACCCTTACCATAACCCTAAACCTGAACCTAACCCTTCACCCTAACCCTAACCCAGACCCTGACCCTAACCCACCACCCTTCATAATTGTGAGAAATAAATATTTTTTGGGTTAAACTTGTTTGGACTTATTGTACAAACCTATTTAACATCCACTATTTTAATCTAATATTATGGATAGAGTTTAATTCAGTGTTTGCAAGATTCATTTCACTATTTTTAAATTAATGTCTATATTGCCATGAAGCATTTTTCCAGCCAGGATTTTCCTGGCTGGAATTTTCCCATTGGTGACCTAATCAAAATGGCCGACTTGGATCTCCATCCTTTACTCACAAGACCTGGCAGTTGAGCACGCGGATGGTCCCGTCCTTGCGCAGCGCGTACTGGGCCTGGATGCATTTGCCTCGTGCAAAGGTGTTGGGGATCTTCTGGATCTCGTACCAGCGGCCCAGGTACTGCAATAAACAAAATATAATCACTCTAATGAGGAAGACAAAGCTGTGAACAAAGTATCAAAACAATAAACAAGACTATGAACAAAGTATCAAAACAATAAACAAGA